TTATCAATAAACTATTGTCATATATACAGCTATACGTTATATAAAAAATAATCAAAAATAATTAAAATGGGGTGGAGGGGGGATCGGATGGGGGGGGGGGGGGGTTAATATGTATATAAGACAAGACAACATATGTGTTACTTGACTATATTTTCTATAACTCATTTTTTGTTATTTCCCCCGGTCAAGTACATTTGTCAGAGATTGGAAACAATTTATAATTGTAGTTAGGTTTGCCAAAAAGCTTAGAAGTGACTGTTTTTATCTCTAAATATATAACTGTGTAAACGTTGTCTGACGTCAAGTGACACTATTTAGACTGCCTAATAAATAAATAAAACTGTAACACGTTTTGTGACAAAAGATAGATTTAATAATGCAACAATGTCTGGTACAACAGTGAAAATTCTAAAAACTGTAACACGTTTGGTAACAAGATAAAATATCTAGGTAATAATGCTAAAATGTCTGGTACAACCGTGACCGTGTTAAAAACTGTAACATCCTTTGAAGCAATATATACCCTGTTCAATAATGTAACAATGTCTGGTACAACCGTGACAATGTATAATAATGTAACAGTGTCTGGTACAACCGGGACAATGTTAATTATGTAAAAATATAACGTGCCACGGTTTTTTTGCGCCAGATTCCTGCAGTTTTTGCTAACATTCCCACGGTTGTACCAGACAAAAACCTGCATTTGATCATATCTCGATTCTCCTGACCGGGCGTGTGTTGGGACCTAAAGAGCCAAGATCTGAGCCAGCTCAACCACGGGATCTCTACCAGAGTATGTAGTTCTTTGATTGTATACGTTTTTTCACATGATTAGTATGATTATAATGGGATATGTGGTCTACACAAGCCTAAAGAGGCAAAAATAAGTCAGGTCCTTCAATTTAAATTTCCTATCAAAATGGCGCATGAATGTTAGCCTAGATTCTAGATCTAAGCTTACTCTACTTTATTCACTTAATAAAGAGAAGTGTTTATATATCCATTTACCCTTCAAACGGTGACATTTATGCTAATGACTTGACATGTATATGATCCTTACATACCAATACGATCAAAAAAGTTACGTTCATCTACATCTTAGACTAGTGCAGTAAAGTGCACTTTGGATTTTTTTTGCAATTTTGAAAAGTAAACCACTGAATATTCTAGTTATTCAAACATTCTGAAGAATTATCAACTCTAAATTAACAGTCTAGGTACAGTAATGCATCTTTTGTGCAAGAATGAAAGATGTAGATGATGTGTGGAATGAGTAATGTTTATCTGAAATTCGAACATGACTGTATTCACCTTCTATAAACTGTAAACAAAGTCAATGCTTCAGCTGGGTTATATTCGGGATCAATCACCCAGTTAATAACGTGTAATGTGTGACGTCATAACGGTGGGTCTTAGTAATGGAGGACCATGATGTATATTCGAAACAATTTGGTGAGTTTTCATGTTCGAATTGTAATATAGACCTCAGAGCAGGGGCAATATCGTCAAATACACCCCTTGGGTCTAGGCACAAAAGCTTTCGAACTTTCGGGGTACAGAAAATGTTTGTGCTTAGCCCTGCAGGGTGTGTTGGACGATATAACCCCTGCTTTTTGGTCTATATTTCTTAAATAGCACATGGTTGGAAATTTCACCAAAGTGCACCCTGACCTAAAAGTGATTTCCTGGTCAAACTTGCAAAAATTAGTCCAAATTCTCACTTGATCCATCCACTCCCAAAAATATGCATGCGAGGCTCGATGTAAAACATCTGATTGGTTGTTGGTGTAAACAGTAGAGTCGGGGCTATCTGTACGAGGTTCAGTTTTTACTTGGTTTGGTGTTTCATTAAGGGAAGTACTTCATTCCCATGATTCAAAGTGCTTTTCTGCCATTGGTTTGGTTTAAGTTTGTATAACAAACTCAGACACGGGGCGTATCGAAAGCAAAACGCCCCACAAAACCGTTAATTTGTATTTTAAACCTACCCTTTCTTTGGAAAATCAATGATTGTGAGTCTCACAGTACACCATTTTTCTTCAAACTTGTTCCATTAAAACCTTCACAGAAATACCTTTCACTCGAGACATTGCTTTTGTGTACAGTTGCTCGTTTTAGCGGCGTTTTGGTCCCCAGATGTGAGAAGATGCAAATCTTCAGAGATTTCAACCAAAAGCCTCAATATATCTCCAGTTCTTTTATTATTCTCCCCTATATTTTGCACAAGGACTCCCATTACAACCCTCCATCTCTGCATCAACATATTTATTACATTAAACGCAGCAATTTCCAAAAGTCGTACGCATCTGTTTGAAATTGATCAAAACGCCCCGTTCTCTTCCAAAATGGCCCGTTGGATCTATACACCTTGAAACTACACGTTTGTAGTCATAGACTCTGCAGGGCGTTTTGGAAGACAACGGGGCGTTTTGGTGAAGTTCGAACAGTTGCGTAGGACTTTTCAGAATTGCTGCGTTTCATGTAAGGAAACATGTTGATGCAGCGATGGAGGGTTGTAATGGGAGTCCTTGAGCAAAATATGGGGGAGAGTGATAAAAGAACTGGGAAGATATCAAGGATTGTGGTTGAAATCTCTGAGGATTTGCAACTTCTCACATCTGGGGACCAAAACGCCGCTAAAACAAAGGACTTTGTAAACAAAAGCAATGTCTCGACTGAGAGGTATTTCTGTGAAGGTTTTAATGGATCAATTTTGAAGAAAAATGGTGTAGTGTGAGACTCACAATCATTGATTTTGCAAAGACAGGGTAGATTTGAAATTCAAATTAACGGTTTTGCGGGGCGTTTTGGTTTCGATACGCCCCAGTGAGTTACTACTGTGTGGTTATAAGTTGGTGAAGTTATTATTGATGTAAAGTGCAAACATGGGTGAGAAATGTTTAGATTCCCCAAAATAATAACTATTGTAATATCAATCTCATAGAATAATAATACATTATATTATAAGATTTTTTAGTTTTCCTGAAATAAAGTGTGCACTTTGGGGATTTTTAGAAAATAGACATGACAAGGAATGACATAAGCCAGAAATATTCTAAAATTGAAAAAAAATTGTTCGATTGCTCGTTATATCTGATTCTCTCTTAAAAGAATGAATAAATATTTCTTCACATCATAGTATGGGACAAGCTCAAATCATCATTACCTTCTTCATGTTCAATAACTGTTACAGTGGCGGATCCAGGAACCAACAAGGGGGGGCCCCAAATTTGAGGTCAGAGAAAAAACCTCCACGCTTGCGCGGAAAAAAAATTTGGGCCCCTAAAACCGAAAAGTGGGCCCAAATTTTGAAAATTCGAGGCCCATTTTCTTCAAAATTTGGCTTAAAATTAAAAAAATAAGGCCTTAGAAGGCCCAATAATGACCAAAAGGCCCACTTTTTGGGGCCTTTTTTGGCCTAAAATTTTTTTGGGCCCAACTTTTTTTTTCTGGGCCAACCTTAGGGGGGGGGGGGGGCCGGGCCCCATGGGCCCCCCCCGGATCCGCCATAGTAACATGACAATTTTCCATTTGTAGTTCTGTCAATTTTGCTATATCAAACAGTTCTCTATATTTTACAAGTGACCCAAGAGGGGCAGCTATTCTAATTTTTCCAGGGGAAGTAGGATAAATGTGCAGATTCAGAAACAGGATGTTTTTGTCAACAATCTCATGTTTAAAATGCAGAGGATGAGTTTTTCCAAAGGATCCAAAAATGTCCCCAAAGGTTTCATTGAAAATAATATAGAAATAGTTACTTTTATCAATTATGAATTTACAGTATTCAAAACGAAATTAGGTCACTCAGATTAAAACTAGGGTCATTCAGTGCATATAGTTTGATTATGGAATTCATTCTTAGTATCATTTTAGGAGTATGTTAGGCTTCACTCATGAACATTTAAGTATGTTGACCATTCATCAGTCTACATATCAAAACATCATTAAGGTAAAACACTAATGGAAACCATATTGAAAAGATATGTAATACAGTATGTTAAAAAAACGCAACAAGAAAAAACATTGTAAAATCAAAAAATCAGTGATGTAACCTTCAAGGGTTTCTAAAAATGAGGCCTCTGAATGAGTCAAGCACCATTTGATTCAACTGTTGTGAAAAAGTGTCATTATCAGGAATGCTGAAAGCTCTCCTTAAGCCTGACATGAAAGTTCAACTGATGAATGATCTAATGTATAAAGAGACAATCTTATACTCCTCCCTCACCATTTATTCAGGTACCACTTTCAAAATCCAAGTCCAGCATTTTTTTACCGCTTTAAGTTATGATGTACATATTGATTAGATGAAGCTACATGTACCACCTCAAGAATGGCTGTATTCTGCACCATATCTGTACATACAGATATATGAAATTTAAGAATCATACCTACTGATGGAAAAGCTTTCAAGGATATAACAATGTTTATCAATTAACAACTCAAATGATACTAAGAGGAACAATTTTTAAATTACCACAGATGACTATACTATTAGACTTTTATACAAGAATCTTCCAAATCTACAATCTGGAATTTGGGGCTAGAATACATGTAAATGTATTGCCAGAATCACTTAATTTCTTGATTTAAGAAGTAATTCCATTTGGATCAACTTAAAACATCATTGGAATGTAACTATATGGTCTTATTGACATGTGGATTGTGATTTCACATTAAAATTGTGATCCTTGTAAGAGTAAATGAACTTTTAAAGGTTTTTCAGCATTGTGTCAATGGGGATTTAGCCTGACCTTTTTTAGACAACCAGAAAATCATTAGAATTTGAATAATGGTAAATTAAACAGTGCAAATCAAAGTTGTTTTGATAGAGAATTACTCACAGAAGAAAACGTTAGTTTTTAATGGTTAAAAATGCAGATCTCCTAAAATCTCATTAAAAACGAGACCTTAACAAGATTTCAAAGCTACATGGAAAAAGGACCATTGCATGCCATTAGAGAACATTAAGTTAAGAAATAAAGTCATTTGAAATTGAATGCAATTCATGAAAAGGGTGAATTTTCACCAAAATGGCTGGTATTTCAGGTGTGATTCCAAGAACCAAGACATCATCCTAGCAATCTGAAATTTTACAGTAAAGTTAGTTAGGGTAAAAGGAATGGGAACCCATATGTGCTTAGCTCTCTGGTAAAAAAGTGAGATTTCCAAACACCCTAACTCCCATGCATGCAAAATAATGATTATTCAGTGGTCAATGATCACATATGAACAAATGACATATCATTGTAAAGATGAGACACGTAGCTTTATGATAAACTTTGAAATTTATCTAATCATCATTGTTTTTATGTCACCACCAAAAGTGGTGACATATTGTTATGGTCTCCGTTTTTTTGCGACGGCGGTTGGTGGTTGGTGGTTGGAGGTTGGCGTCCGGCGTCCGGCGTCCGGCGTCCGGCGTCTGTAACAATTTCTTACAACTTCCTATAACTTAACAAATACTGTTTAGACTGACTTCAATTTTTTTCTAAATCATCTACATGTTCTCAGAAGTTCAAATCTGACTTTAGATTTGACATTTGACCTTCAATGACCTTCTCAAGGTCAAAAAGGTCTTTTTTCAACTTGCTTCACATTGACTAAATTTTTTTTCAAAATCATCTACATGTTCTCAGAAATTCAAATCTGACTTTAGATTTGACATTTGACCTTCAAATCTGACTTTAGATTTGACATTTGACCTTCAATGACCTTCTCAAGGTCAAAAAAGGTCAAAAAGGTCTGTTTTCAACTTGCTTCAAATTGACTAAATTTTTTTTTCAAAATCATCTACGTGTTCTCAGAAATTCAAATCTGACTTAAGATTTGACATTTGACCTTCAATGACCTTCTCAAGGTCAAAAAAGGTCAAAAAGGTCTGTTTTCAACCCTTCTTCAAATTGACTAAAAAAAAATTTCAAAATAATCTACTTGTTCTCAGAAATTCAAATCTGACTTAAGATTTGACTTAAGATTTGACATTTGACCTTCAATGACCTTCTCAAAGTCAAAAAAGGTCAAAAAGGTCTTTTTTCAACTTGCTTCAAATTGACTAAAATTTTTTTTCAAAATCATCTACATGTTCTCAGAAATTCAAATCTGACTTTAGATTTGACATTTGACCTTCAATGACCTTCTCAAAGTCAGAAAAGGTCAAAAAGGTCTTTTTTCAACTTGCTTCAAATTGACTAAATTTTTTTTTTCAAAATCATCTACATGTTCTCAGAAATTCAAATCTGACTTTAGATTTGACATTTGACCTTCAATGACCTTCTCAAAGTCAAAAAAGGTCAAAAAGGTCTTTTTTCAACTTGCTTCAAATTGACTAAATTTTTTTTTAAAATCATCTACATGTTCTCAGAAATTCAAATCTGACTTTAGATTTGACATTTGACCTTCAATGACCTTCTCAAAGTCAAAAAAGGTCAAAAAGGTATTTTTTCAACTTGCTTCAAATTGACAATTTTTTTTTTCAAAATCATCTACATGTTCTCAGAAATTCAAATCTGACTTTAGATTTGACATTTGACCTTCAATGACCTTCTCAAAGTCAAAAAAGGTCAAAAAGGTCTTTTTTCAACTTGCTTCAAATTGACTAAATTTTTTTTCAAAATCATCTACATGTTCTCAGAAATTCAAATCTGACTTTAGATTTGACATTTGACCTTCAATGACCTTCTCAATGTCACAAAAGGTCAAAAAGGTATTTTTTCATCTTGCTTCAAATTGACTAAAATTTTTTTCAAAATCATCTTCATGTTCTCAGAAATTCAATATGACTTTAAATTTGACATTTGACCTTCAATGACCTTCTCAAGGTCAAAAAAGGTCAAAAAGGTCTTTTTTCAACTTGCTTCAAATTGAATAAATTTTTTTTTCAAAATCATCTACATGTTCTCAGAAATTCAAATCTGACTTTAGATTTGACATTTGACCTTTAATGACCTTCTCAAGTTCAAAAAAGGTCAAAAAGGTCTGTTTTCAACTTGCTTCAAATTGACCCAATTTTTTTTTCAAAATCATCTACATCTTTTCAGAAGTTCAAATTTGACTTTACAAGTTCTCAGAAGTTCAAATCTGACTTTAGATTTGACCTTTGACCTTCAATGACCTTCTCAAGGTCAAAAGGTATTTTCCAACTTGCTTTAAATTGACCAAATTGTTTTAGGTGGTGACATTTTGTGATGTTAATGCCTTGTTTGGGTTTTACAATGGTTCTGCTTGTTGTGTTTTTATTGGGATGCACTGTTATCATTTGAAAAAGTCAATCTTAATCAAGGTGTTCTCAGCAATCTGGCAATAGTTTGATTACCTTAGTTGGTATTCAATTAGCTTTATCATAGACATTTAATATAGAGGAAATATTAAAACATTATTATAAAAGGCAGCGCACAAATGGCAACATACTAAAATCACAAAACCCAAATATTCAACTCAAATCTCCCAAACTAGACTAGTTGTGGCTTTCCAGTATATTATATATTAATTTGGCATTTTCAAATAACAAATGTTAATAAAAGGTGATAGACTCTCCAATCTTATTAGCATTATTTTTCAAAATAACCAATTCGTATGAAATAATTAGGTGTCAGGGGGGGGTTACAAGTTAAAAAGGCTTAGTTTCATTATTTCTTTGGGGAATTACCTTACTAGCAACTAGCAGGGTGAGAACTATCTCAGAAGCAGTGCCCCTTTAAATGGCTAAAGGGATATTGATCCAGTCCCTCAGCAATATATTACCTTCAGGGACAGGCATGAATGATGAATTAAAAATAGATTAACCCATTTGTTTCTTCATTTAACATGTTTTAATGTTCATTAATATGAAAACTACCTTACTAGCAGCGTCCCTTTAAATAGCTAAATGGATATTGATCAAGTTCCTCAGCAATATATCATCATGGACAGGCATGAGCAATGAATTAAAGATAGATTGATCCATTTGTTTCTCTGTTCAAATACTTAAGTGTTCATTAATATGTAAACTACTTTACAAGCACTGTCCCTTGAAATGGCTAAATGGATATTGATCAAGTTCCTCAGCAATATATCATCATGGACAGGGATGAGCAATGAATTCAAGATAGATTGATCCATTTGTTTCTCTGTTCAAAATACATAAGTGTTCATTAATATGTAAACTACTTTACAAGCACTGTCCCTTGAAATGGCTAAATGGATATTGATCAAGTTCCTCAGCAATATATCATCATGGACAGGGATGAGCAATGAATTCAAGATAGATTGATCCATTTGTTTCTCTGTTCAAAATACATAAGTGTTCATTAATATGTAAACTACTTTACAAGCACTGTCCCTTGAAATGGCTAAATGGATATTGATCAAGTTCCTCAGCAATATATCATCATGGACAGGGATGAGCAATGAATTCAAGATAGATTGATCCATTTGTTTCTCTGTTCAAAATACATAAGTGTTCATTAATATGTAAACTACTTTACAAGCACTGTCCCTTTAAATGGCTAAATGGATATTGATCAAGTTCCTCAGCAATATGTCATCATGGACAGGGATGAGCAATGAATTAAAGATAGATTGATCCATTTGTTTCTCTGTTCAAAATACTTAAGTGTTCATTAATATGTAAACTACTTTACAAGCACTGTCCCTTTAAATGGCTAAATGGATATTGATCAAGTTCCTCAGCAATATATCATCAT